ACCAAACCTGAGAATCATGGGCACTGAAGCAAGCAAAAGGAATGCATAATATATTCAACAAAATAATAACAGAAATTTTTCAAAATAGGTGGAGCAATAAAAGTCTTCCATGATAAGCAGAAACTAGAACAATATATGACCACAAAGCCATCACTACAAAAGATTCTTCAAGAGATTCTGCACACAGAAAGTGAAACCCAACATAACCATGAAAGGGCACGCAGTGCCAAACTACAGGAAAAGAAAGAGCAAGAAAGTAGAGAGTAACATCGATTTAGCTACACACAATCAAACCCTCAAACAACTAAGACAACTAAATGACAGGAATCATCACATACCTATCAGTACTAACACTTAATGTTAACGGACTTAACTCCTCCATCAAAAAGCACCATTTGACAAACTGGATTAAAAAGGAAGATCCAACCATTTGTTGCTTACAGGAACCCATCTCATCAATAGAAATAAGCATAGGCTTAGGATGAAAGGCTGGAAGAAGATTTACCAAGCCAATGGCCCCCCAAAACAGGGAGGAGTAGCAATACTTGTCTCGGACAAAGTAGACTTCAAACTTACATTGACCAAACGAGATAAAGAAGGACATTCCATACTAATAAAAGGGGAAATAGACCAAAAGGAAATAAGAATTATCAACCTATGTGCACCCAATGTCAACGCACCCAATTTCATCAAACATACCCTGAAAGACCTAAAAGCATATATTAACTCCAACACAGTGGTTGTGGGAGACTTTAACACCCCATTATCATCAATAGATAGATCATCCAAACAAAAAAATCAATAAAGAAATCCTAGATCTAAAACATACCATGATCAAATGGACCTAGTTGATGTCTACAGAACATTTCATCCAACTTCTACACAATATACATTTTTCTCAGCAGCCCACAGAACCTTCTCCAAAATAGATCATATCCTAGGGCACAAAGCAAGCCTGAGCAAATACAAGAAAATAGAAATTATACCATGCATTCTATCTCATCACAGTGCATGAAAACTAGAACTCAACAACAAAAATAAAGACAAAAAACATGCAAGCAGCTGGAAACTGACCAACTCATTGCTTAATGAACAATGGGTCATTGATGAAATAAAAGAGTAAATTAAAAGGTTCCTGGAAATCAATGAAAATGAAAACACAACCTACCAGAACCTATGGGACATAGCAAAGGTAGTCCTGAGAGGAAAGTTTATACCCATGAGTGCATATATTAAAAAGACTGAAAGATCTCAAATCAATGACCTAATGATACATCTCAAACTCCTAGAAAAACAAGAACAAGCAAATCCCAAAACAAATAGAAGGAGAGAGATAATAAAAATAAGAGCTGAAATCAACGAAATAGAAACCAAAAAAAAAACCATACAAAGAATTAATGAAACAAAAAGTTGGTTCTTTGAAAATATAAACAAGATTGATAGACCCCTGGCAAACCTGACTAAAATGAGGAGAGAAAAAACCCAAATCAGTAAAATCAAGAATGCAAAAGGGGAGATAACTACAGACACCATGGAAGTCCAGGAAATCATCAGAGACTACTTCGAGAACCTATATTCAAATAAATTTGAAAATCTAAAAGAAATGGACAGATTTCTAGATACATATGATCATCCAAAACTGAACCAAGAGGAAATTAATCACCTGAATAGATCTATAACACAAAATGAAATTGAAGCAGCAATCAAGAGTCTCCTCAAAAACAAAAGTCCAGGACCTGATGGATTCTCTGCTGAATTCTATCAGACCTTTAAAGAACTGATACCAACCCTCCTTAAACTGTTCCACAAAACAGAAAGGGAAGGAAAACTGCCAAACACATTTTATGAGGCCAGTATTACACTTATCCCAAAACCAGGCAAAGACACCTCCAAAAAGAAGAACTATAGGCCAATCTCCTTAATGAACATTGATGCAAAAATCCTCAAAAAAATAATGGCAAACTGAATTCAACAACACAATAAAAAGATCATTGCATATGACCAAGTTGGCTTCTTCCCAGGAATGCAGGGGTGGTTCAACATATGCAAATCAATAAATGTAACACAGCACATTAACAGAAGCAAAGACAAAAACCACTTGATCATCTCAATAGATGGAGGAAAAGCCTTTGATAAGATCCAACACCATTTCATGATAAAAGCTCTAAGAAAACTAGGAATAGAAGGAAAGTACCTCAACATTATAAAAGCTATATGACAAACCTACAGCCAGCATTATACTTAATGGAGAAAAACTGAAACCATTCCCTCTAAAATCAGGAAAGAGACAAGGATGCCCACTATCAACATAGTACTGGAATTCCTAGCCAGAGCAATTAGGCAAGAAGAAGGAATAAAAGAAATACAAATAGGTAAAGAAACTCAAAATATCCCTATTTGCAGACGATATCATCCTATACCTTAAAGACCCAAGAAACTCTACTCAAAAGCTCCTAGACACCATCAACAGGTATAGCAAGGTAGCAGGATATAAAATCAACATAGAAAAATCATTAGCATTTCTATACACTAATAATGAACAAACTTAGAATGTATAAAAACAATTCCATTTACAGTAGCCTCAAAAAAAGCCCAGATACCTAGGAGTAAACTTAACAAATGATGTGAATGACCTCTATGAGGAAAACTATAAACTCATGAAGAAAGAGATTGAAGAAGACTATAGAAAGTGGAGAGATCTCCCATGCTCATGGATTGGTAGAATCAACATAGTAAAAATGGCTGTACTCCCAAAAGCAATCTACATGTGTAATGCAATTCCCATCAAAATCCCAGTTACATTCATCAAAGAGATTGAAAAATCTATGGTTAAATTTATTTGGAAACACAAGAGACCACGAATAACCAAGGCAATATTCAGCAAAAAGAACAACGCTGGAGGTATCACAATACCCAACATCAAACTATATTACAAAGCAATAGCAATAAAAACAGCATGGTACTGGCACAAAAACAGACATGAAGACCAGTGGAACAGAATAGAGGACCCGGATATGAAGCCACACAAGTACAACCAACTTATCTTTGACAAAGTTGCTAAAAATATACAATGGAGAAAAGACAGCCTCTTCAACAAAAACTGGGAAAACCGGTTAGCAGTCTGCAAAAAACTGAAACTAGATCCATGTTTATCACCCTATAACAATATTAACTCAAAATGGATCAAGGATCTTAATATCAGACCACAAACTCTAAAGTTGATACAGGAAAGAGTAGGAAATACTCTGGAATTAGTAGGTATAGGTAAGAACTTTCTCAATGGAACCCCAGCAGTTCAGCAACTAAGAGCTAGCATAGACAAATGGGACCTCATAAAACTAAAAAGCTTTTGCTCAACAAAAGAAATGGTCTCTAAACTAAAGAGACCACACACAGAGTGGGAGAAAATACTTGCCAGCTACACATCAGACAAAGGACTGATAACCAGAATATATAGGGAACTCAAAAAACTAAACTCTCCCAAAATTAATGAACCAATAAAGAAATAGGCAAGTGAACTAAAGAGAAGTTTCTCAAAAGAAGAAATTCAAATGGCCAAAAAACACATGAAAAAATGCTCACCATCTCTAGCAATAAAGGAAATGCAAATTAAAATCACGCTAAGATTCCACCTCACGCCTGTTAGAATAGCCATCATTAGAAGCACCAACAACAGGTGTTGGCAAGGATGTGGGGAAAAAGGAACCCTCATACACTGCTGGTGGGAATGTAAACTAGTACAACCACTCTGGAAAAAATTTTGGAGACTTCTTAAAAATCTAAACATAGATCTGCCATATATGATCCAGCAATACCACTCTTGAGAATATACCCAAAGGAATGCAACACAGGTTACTCCAGAGGCACTTGCACACCCATGTTTATTGCAGCACTATTCACAATAGTCAAGTTATGGAAACAGCCAAGATGCCCCACTATTGATGAATGGATTAAGAAAATGTGGTATTTATACATAATGGAATACTACTCAGCCATGAAGAAGAATGAAATGTTATCATTTGCAGGTAAATGGATGGAACTGGAGAACATCATCCTGAGCGAAGTTAGTCAGGCCCAGAAGACCAAAAATCATATGTTCTCCCTCATATGCAGACTTTACATCAAGGGCAAACACAACAAGGGGATTGGACTTTGATCACATGATGAGGTGAGAGCACACAGGGAGGTATGAGGATAGGCAAGAAACCCAAAAAAAAAAAAAAAACAAGCTAGCATTTGATGTGCTCAATGTGAAGGAACTAATACAGAAACTTTAAAGCGACAGAGGCCAATAGGAGAAGGGGACCAGGAACTAGAGAAAAGGTTAGTTCAAGAAGAATTAATTTAGAATGTAACACATATGTACAGGAAAGCAATGTGAGTATGCTCCCTGTATAGCTATCCTTATCTCAACTAGCAAAAACCCTTGGTCCTTCCTATTATTGCTTATACTCTCTCTTCAACAAAATTAGAGATAAGGGCAAAATAGTTTCTGCCTGGTAGCGAGGGGGTTGGGGGGGAGAAGGAGGTGGGGGGAGGGGAGAGGGAGAGAGAAGGGAGGGGGGGATGAGGGGGAGAAATGATCCAAACATTGTATGTACATATGAATAAAAAAATGTGTTTAGTTTGCTGGAAGATAGTTTTATATGTGGTCCACTGCAGACTGATACCTTGCTTGTAGATCCCTAGGCTAGACAGGAGCTGAGTTATTCATTACCAACTATGGAAAAAGAGGGGCTTAGCCAATTTGGGTGGTTTAGTAAAGGGACGATTGAGTTACCTGCAAATGAACAGTTATTTACTTCTCTTTGCCTCCATTAAGAGAATTAATAACCCTAGCGTGTACTTCACTTGAGAACAAAGAAAGACCTTAATATTTGGCCCACTTTCTTTACTCTAGACATAAATAAAAACTTGTAAGGTGTCTACAAAATTCAGAGTAAAACAATACTTTGAAATGTACTTAAATGTCTCCTCTCTAACTCCCCCTCCTTTTCAAGATTGACATCTGGTCCTGAGAACACACTTTTCCACTATGTTGCCTTAGAAACTGTGCAAGGAATCTTCATTACTCCTACCCATGAAGAGGTGGCACAGCTAAGTGGCGCTGTCCACTCTCAGCTGATAAAGAATTTCCATCAGTGTTGTCTTTCCATTCGTGCAATTTTCCAACAGACATTGGTGGAAGAGGTAAACATAGTTTTATAAATATATGTAGCTTTCTGTCAATATCATTTCCAAATTTCTAAACATTCTCTCTGCTCTGTAATCAGTGTGTCCATCAGTGTTTTCATTTAATTAAAGTTTTTTTAAGTTAGCTAACTTAATTTCAGTGTCACATTACTTAATTTCCAGCCTTTGTTTTATTATACTGAGTTAGATGTCCTAGGTTACTATTTCAGGTAGACCTGGGTCTTTTACAGCAAAGTAGAATATAGTAGTTTATAATATTAACCTCCTATATTTCATATCTATGACTCAACCACTGCCATTTTTACTTCGTCCATAATAGCTAATTGATTCTGATAATTTTTTTAAGTATTCAGCTAATAATTCAAGGTATTTAATAATACAGGGAGTATGATGTGTTTAGGGTACAGCTATGAACACAATACTATTGCAGATGTTTTAGCACATACTCTGTTAACTGGTTGTTTGCTTTTTAGTCCAGGAAAAAATTGCACTGAATGTTGTACCTGCTGGTTAAGTGTTAATACTGCACATAACTAAAATACTATTTAGATTGTTCAGATGACAGACAAAAATTGGTGTTGATTTCTTATAAGGGATAAACATACAAAGGTTTACTTGTACTTAGTAGAACTCCCAGCCAAATAAAGCTCTCTGAAGACATTTGTAATGTAATGAATACAGCAACTCAGCTATAAAGTGAACAGGCTGAGTTACAGCCTGTCTTGGGGCTCATTCAACAGTTAAATTTTAACTTACAGGATTTCTTCTCCAAGTTCTTAGAAATTGTTACTAAGCAAAAATGTCCTTATGTGCTCTAGGGTTTTATGTTCCTCCTTCCCTAATTAGTAGACTAAGAGTTCATTAACTTAGTTGATAATGTTTAATAATATAAATTAGCCTTCCCCATATTATTTAAATATTGAGGTCCCTACTCTGCATGGAACAAAACAAAGTTCCTTCCCTGAAGCCTGTTTTATGAAGGAGATAAATAAATTAGCAAATAATATGTCAGGGAGGATAAGTATCAAGAAGAATAATAAGACATGGTAAGGAGAAGAGGATGGAGTTACTATTTTAAAAGGCCCCTTAGAGAATGTTAAGTAGTTTTGGCTATCTGGAGGCTTAGCTTCCAGACTGAGAGGTCAGGCATGTGCAAAGCTGCAGAGGTGGGAGGGTGGTAAGTACTGGAACAGCCGTAGGGCAGCTGAGAGTGGAAAGAGAATCAGGAAAGTAGGAGTCCAGAGCATGAATAGCTGGATAGACTGTGGCAAGGACTCTGGACTCGTTCTAGAAGAGATGGAGTGGTTTTGCATAGTTCTGAATGGAGGAAGGGTCCTTAGTTTTGTAAAGAGTCTGTGTTGCTACCTTGGAAATCAGGCTGTAGGATAGTAAGGATGAAGGCAGGGACCATTTGGGAGGGAGGCTATTAAAATTCTCAAAGAAGAATGATAAAGAGTCCTCAATTTTGGATTAATTTTGGAGGATGAACCAAAAGGATTTGTTGGTGGATTAGGTAACAGTTAAGAGAGAGAGAAGAATCAAGAGTCATTCTGCTATTTTGACCTGAGCCTTATAAAGACTCTGTATTCCAAATGAGTCATTGTTTTGCTAATGCTTTAATAAATAGAAACTTTAAGTGGTTATGCATCAGAGGAAGAGGCAATAAATTGCTTTAAATATGTGTTTTAGGTTTATTACAGAATCTTTTATCCACTTACACATTTACTAGCATCTATACTATGTACAAACACTGCTGCTTTAAATAAAAAATACAAAGATGAGTAGCACCTTGTCTCTGTCCTAGGGAAAAAGCTTATAATCTTCTGTCTCCTACAAGGAAGACAGACCTGTAAACTGCTAATATAATGTAATGTAAAGACTAATAATATGGGGCCGTGAACAAAGAGTATCTTAAGGGACACTTTACTGATGAAGTCTCCTTTAGGAAAGTATTAAAGCTAAGTATTGAGGAGTAGATATTTTCCTGCAGGTGTTATAATCAGCTAGTTCAAATCTACATGAGAAAATATTTTAAATTAACACTATTAATACTAGTTTATACTAATAATACCTATTAATTTACAGAAAAAGAAAGCACTAGATGGTGGAGATCATTCAAATTTTACAAATTCAGTGTCTTCACTTAGCCCTGTGAAAGAACATGGTGTGCTGTTTGAATGCTCACCTGAAAACTGGACAGATCAGAAAAAATCACCACCAGTTATGGCTTACTGGGTTGTAGGGTAAGTGGAAAAACAGTATGTGAAAGTTAAAACAAACGTTAGAAAAGTAATAAAGGAGATAAATGTATTAAAATGTAGGCATGAGTTATTAATCTAGTTAGAATATTTTAATATTACCTTAGAATTTTCATTTGCTAAATGTCACCCTTAAATCCCTCCTGAGTCTTTTTCTATTACAAAAAAAGGCTGTTCATTTCTCTGACAAAATCACTAAAAGAGTGATTCTGAATTTTTCTCTAAAATCCTTCCTTCCTTTCCTTCTTCTTTTTCTTTTGTCTCTCATCTTTTTCCTTCCACTCTCCCACCCCTCAAAGATGTAACAGAGTCTGGCTTCTGCCCACCTCTTGTTTCCTTTCCCATCACTCTTCTCTGTCCATGGTGCTCCACCTACCCTACCACCAAATAATCTGGTATTCCTTCTACATGGGGTTTTCGCCCTTAACCTTTGCAAATCTGACTCTGGTATTCAGACCAAGACTAACAGGTTATCTCCTTAAAGAGAGTCCATGACTTGTTTCCCCCATTAAAGTAACTACCCTGTTGTCCTCTGTATCACCTTTTATCTTGTCCACCACTGGCATCTGCAATAGCACCTTGCACATAATGGGAGCTTTATAAATATGTAATGGTTTAGTAAGTGGAGTTATGTCAGGTAAAATGTTGTGATGGGTGAGTGGGTTATATAGTGAGTATAAAGAAAACATATGATCATTGCTTCCAAGGGCCTTACATCTTGCAGAAAAATGTGAAATATGCTCAAATATCTAACTGCAGATATATTGATATAGTCATACATATGTAAATAAATGGATATACATATGTATACACAATTAGGCAATACAGTACGTGCTATAGGAATTCTGAGGAGGGGAACAAAGTCTAAGCAGGGATTAAAAAGAAAGGCATAGAGGTTCCATTTGATCCTAGTCAGAAAAAGAATTAGAATTGGATAGCACATTTTAGGAAAGTGGGATGGAATGAACAAAGACCCAAACAGTGGAAACCATAAGGCATGACATGAGTAGATGGGTTTGCCAGGACGGTACAGGAGTGACAGATACAAAAATAAAGCGAAAGATCATGCTGGAAAACTAAGACGATTGCAGAGAGCCATCATGTCTTGACTAAGGAATTGAATTTTAAGGGAAATACTGAGCTACTGAAAGTTCTTGGAGTACAGAGTTAGCAGAGGAAAGGGCACAGAGTTGGGTAGGACTAAAGTTTCTGGACACCTCCCACATAGTACCAAGCTGTATGACAAACATTTTACAAATGTTATCCAAATTAGTAGTTCCTGTCCGCTGGTCAGTGGGATTTAGAATCACTGGAGTCACTTGTTAAAATCAGAGGTTCCTCAGCCCCTCCCCAGACCCAATGGATCAGAATCTATGGAAGTAGGATTCTATTTTCAGTAAGCTCCCTTGTGACTGTGATGTGTAACCCACCATCCTTGAGGACATCAGCCTAAATTTAACTCTGTACTATGAGCAGAGTTGGGCTTTGTAAAATTAAGCTGGGAAGAGCCTATGGAATGATGTGCACAAGGGAGAGAGAGAGACATTAGGCACACATGCGGGGTGCAGTATAACTTTATGTTCAGAATAGTTAAGTAGAAAGAATCCAGTGGTGTTGAATTATGATGCAGAACTATGTAAAAAGAAATTCGAAGGACGTCAGACAGAACTGTCCCTCCGTTTAAAACGTTCACTTTATTTTACTGTTTTTGAGACAGTGCTTACTGTATAAGCCAGGCTGGTCTCAAACTTGAGATCTTCCTGCCTCAGTCTTCCAAGTGCTGAGATTACAGGTGAGTGCACCCCAGCTCTTTTGAAAAAATCAAAGTTTAAATTTTAATCCCAATCCGATACTGTTCTTAAAATGACCACCATATGTTTAATGCTGTAATAATTCAATGTTTCAAAGTAGGTGGTAATAACATGTTTAATAACTATTAAGCTTTAAATGATGCTAATGCTATTGGCTATACTGCAATAGTAATGACTATAGTTAACATTTAAAAATGGAGGAGTGTGGTAATATGTATTGACAAAACAGGATTTTTACACTTAATAAAAATAATTAAGGCATATATCGTTTTATCTAGAAATCTAGTTGCACTCTCCTTAGTATAGATTTAGGTTAATTGTTTTTGAATTTACAACTAGTTCTTTAAAAACCAAAAAAAAAAAAAAATTAGTGGAAGGGGTTTTGGTCATTTTAACTTCTGAGTGTGTTTTTTTCTTCTGCAGGAGGCTGTTTCTTCATCCCAAACCTCAAGAACTTTATGTGTGTTTTCATGACTCAGTCACAGAAATTGCCATTGAAATGGCTTTTAAATTGTTCTTTGGATTAACCTTGTAGCTGTGCTTTTATGCACAGAAACACGTGTAGAGCATAGGATAGTGTTAGAATTGCTGAAATCAAAATATTTTCACTGTTCAGTAATTAAATGTAATGTTAAATATTGAGATGAAATGCTGTTGGGTTCATGCATCAAATCTTATGTAGTAATAATGAGACTTTTAAGGAGAAACTTGATCAAAATATGAAGAAGGGAGTGTTAACTTATTGCCATTTTGGTGTACAATGTTAATTTATTGGCTAATTTGAAATGATGTTTTATATAAAATTAGTATAGGAAATGTTTATCTTGGCAAAGCACCCAATCTTTTTTTTGATAAAAAACTGGTGGTGTTATCTGGTAAAATAATTATGAAATTGGGAGGAGGTGACCAGATCCTATAATTAAGCAAGTCTTTGTACCTCTCTGACCTCAGTTTCGTGTACTAATGAGATTACTGCATTGTGGTTCTGAAAGTTCCTTTTAAGTAAAATATGTTACCTTTTTTTCTTTTGCCTTGGTCAGTATCTAAATTTTTAATGTCCAAGTACTGACTTCTTAACAGATCAAATACTTTTCATTAGTGTATTTTAGATACCTCACTGCAGGGAAGGAGAAGAAGATGAAAATTAAACTTTACTTATATAATTCTCTTTACATTTTAGATAAGCCCTATTTTGACTAGGATATATATTTCTAATTATCTGTAAATGTTCATTGGGTTTTTTTTTTCTTTTCGTTGAAGTATATTCAGGTATATAAACATTTTATACAGTTGATGAATTTCAGGAATGTTATATATAAACCTTTTTTTAAAACCAAATCATGTTAAATAAAAAAGCACTGAAAGGGTAGGCTAAGGAATCCTATGGTGATTTCTTTTGTAAAGTACTACTTTTTGTCTTTCCAAAAGGAAAGCACTTCAATGAGTTATATAATAGGAAAACCAACATTAATTCAATGAGGATTTTCATTGACTGTGAGAACTTGGTGGATCTGAGGGAAAGGAAGAACATAGCAAACACTATGTTTTTAATTGACATCTACCCAGTGGATCCTTGTGCAGACTCACTTGCCCTCCAAATTTTACAATACTGCGTTGTTTGTCCTTCAGGATTTACTTGTTAGAAGAAAAGTTACACCATCTCATCTATAGTCAGCCCCTGCATTTCCCTTGCCTCAAATGTGAGCCCTCCAGCTTAAACACAGTGGATTGCAGAACACAGTGGATGCACCACTGACTCATTTGGTCTTAGAAGAAACTACTATCCCTCTATCGTCAGATGAAGACTTTCACGTAGGCATTCAAGATGCAAGCCACTGCATATTTTTGTCACCAGTGACTTGTGGGCTTTAATTTTGTTATGTAAGTCAGGGAAAGAAGTTTTGGCTCTTGAAATATGTAGACAAAAGTTTGAAATATCCTCTCCTTAAGATAATGATATTTAGTAAGTGGTAGACTCTTAACTCCTGTCCGAGAACTGCTTGTGTGCATAGATATGTATTAAGGCACTTTGTTAAATATGTTTTATTAAATGTCTTAAATTTCTGGATATGTCTCCCAAGATACCATGAGCTGTTTCTAATTCTGAAAATTATTAGTGAATCACCTCAAGTTTTCAGATGGAATGAACTAAGACTTAGTACTTTAACACAGGGGACTTCTTCTGTTTTCCTTTTAATGTAAGTTTGATCTGTTGGTGTTTTTCTGGTGTCAAGAATCATGAGACCACCACTCAATGACTGGAATAAAAAGGCAAACCAGACTGCAGATCTTAAATGAGGCTCAATTTGCTATATTGTACATGTGCACTGTAATTTCTATGAATTTTTAAGAAATAAACACCCTTTTTATCTCTTAAGTGAATATTGTAGAAAGCATTATAGGTAAACCTATCTGACCATTTTCCCAATGATAAATCTGAAGGTTTATCAATCTGATTACTGGCCAATAAAGTGCCTATCGCTTTAAGTAAAGAGAGACAAAGTGACAGATACCCCAGAGATATGCTCTCCCAGAAACATTCCTAAGTTGGATTTTATTGGTATCCTGCTACTGTTCTCTTAATAGCCAATTCCCATAGCGTTCAACCAATGGACATTTAGTAATAATAAATGACGGTCATAGCTGACACTTTAATAGTAATATCTGCCAGTCACTATTTAAAGAGAACACATGCAACAAATAATGTTCAGGGCATTCAAACCTGGTAAATTGGTTTCATAACTTTCCCCATTTGTATCAGAAATATTTCAAAATATTTTATTATTAATGTTAAATATGTAATACTAAAACTTAAGTGACTGATAGTGTTTAATAGTAATTCAATGTTCAATATTAATGTTAAATCATTTAATGTTATTAATATTTAATTATTGATAGTAATAGCCACTTAATTTTGGAATATTAAGGCTAGTGACATGAAAGAGTACATCTAGCATTTTTAAAAAGATCGGCTACTGCTTATTACTATGACATATTTCTTAGCCCCAAAGGATTATATTTTAGACTCTTTGGTTTTTTTCTCTCTTCTCTTTTTCCTTCTTTTTTTCTCCTCGCTCTCCTTCTTTCCTTAGCTTTTCTTTGTCAGAGAATCACCTAACACGGGAATGTTTCTTGTTTGTGCCAAGGAACTACTGATGATACATAATGACAAGAGAGTAATTGTGCAGTATCTGCTTTCTAATACAAATAGGAAAAGCTATGAACTGACAAGATAGTAATTGTGTAGTATCTGCTTTCTAATACAAATAGGAAAAGCTATGAACTGATAGGTTTTTCTGCTTTGAACATTACCTGTTGTACGTGTTTTCTCTAAACGACTGGTATATGTTATGTACTATAAGAGTTCACTGTGGCTACCATTTATTATTATTAAATATCCATTAGTTGAAAACCATGAAAGTCAGTTAAATCTTACCTGCTACTGTACAACATGTTGGAAACAACAAATCTTTGAGAACAAAGATTTATACTTTAAATATTTTAAAATATACTAAGTATTGTTAAAACTTTAACCTATATACCAAATTGTATGAAATAATTTAACTTTGTAGTTTTATTTCTATATTCTGTATGATTAAGGTTATTTTTATATCCTGTTGGTAGTTTTAAATAAAAGTGCTTTGAGGTTTGTTTGTGGTTGTGTTGCCTTTTTGTGCATTCATCCAACAAATATTTACTGAGTTTCTACCCTCTGCCACACACTGTCCCAGATGCTGAGGATATAGCAAAGAACAAAATAGCCCTTGTAGAGTTTATGTTGCAGAGGTAGAGTCAGACAACAGACAAATAAGTAAAATATGTTGCTAAATGCTAAGAGAAAAAAATAGTGAAGCAAGAAAATGGGTATGAAGTTGACAGGGTGCCAAGGAAGTTGCTGAGGTGACCTCAAACCTGAAGTAAGGAAATGTAATCATGCTCATTTCTAAGAAATTAGTGAATTTCTGAGTAAATAGTGGGAAAAAGCAGAGATGTCCAACTATCTTTTAAACCAGGTGTTAAAATTTCAAAGCACAAAACAATGTTATTCTCGCTACATTTTTGTTATGAAAAATATATTTTTTTAAAAATTAAGTGTTTTATGTAATTGGTTATTCATTATTTTAAATTGTTGATACAATGTCAGCATATTTAACAAAAGCAAAAGTTTCTTGTGGGCTTCAGTAATTTTAAGAAAAAGGGGTCCTGCAATAAAAATGTTTGTGAATTACTCTTAAAATAAGTCAGTGGTTGTCAACCCTGCCCTTTAGAGTTACCTGGGGTGTTTACTTACTGATAGCAGGCTTCACAAGTCTTAAGTTAATTGCCAGAAAACAGAAAACCACACACACACACACACACACACACACGCGAAATGTGAAAACCACCGCTCAACACAGAAACATCAATTTAAATAAAATGCAGAAAGGAGCAACACATTGCAGTATGACAGGGGAGGAGCAAATATGTAAATTGAAGGGTGGGGCAATAGCCGGACAAATGACCCTGCTAAGTGAATTTCTAAGAGAAAACAGGGTAACCCTGGAAACACTCCAATGTATTCATCTCATGGTGGCTGTCCTCACAGAGCAGACTTAGAGCCTCGTGCTGCTGCGAGGACAACACAAGCAAGACTCAGCCCTTTGTCGCAGTCACGTGTCTGCAGTCACATGGCAGGAGTCACGTGTTGCAGCAGGTGGCCGTTGGACGCGCCTGCGCAGCTAATGACACCGCCCTCCCAGCTCGCATCTGTCCCGGCATCCTTAGCGCCGCCTTCCCGCCAGGATAAAGCTGAAGCGGTTTTCTCTTATCACCTGGTTGTTGTTCCAGCCTTGCTTCTACACCACCGCGCCACCATGCAGCGTGAGTCTGGGAAAAAGAAGCCAGAGAAGCTGTTTGACCCCTTCTCCTTCGGGAAGGACCTGCTGGCCGGCGGGGTTGCGGCGGCCGTGTCCAAGACGGCCGTGGCGCCCATCGAGCGGGTGAAGCTGCTGCTGCAGGTGCAGGCGTCGTCCAAGCAGATCAGCCCCGAGGCGCAGTACAAGGGCATGGTGGACTGCCTGGTGCGGATCCCCCGCGAGCAGGGTGCGTACGCCTGCCGGGAACAGGCAGCGAGGAGGGGGGCGCAGAGGGACAGCGTGGCCGCGGCCATGCTGCGCAGGTGGCTGTGCAGAGCCTGGCGATGCCTCCTGCCTGGCCTCGCACCCTGAACTGAATCTGGCCTTGCCTTGCACCTGGGTGTGTCGGGCCTGGCCTCGCGTGCGCTCCTGGTTTTGACTAGTGCTCTAAGTTGCTCTAGTATTTACCGAAATAGCGTAGCAAAGGGCCACCACACAGGTGAAGAGAACTTCTGCTTAATCTTCAGCTGGCCAGGCTGAGACAGCCATTCGCCTCTGCATAAAAACGCCAAAAAATGCCGTGATTATATTTTTAAATCAAAAGTTTTGCAAGAAAAAAAACCTAGCAAAATATTTTAAAATGTTGAATAATGGTAGGATGAGAATTACCAATTTTTGTTTTTAGCATCAAATAAATTACCTTTATTTTGAATTTTTAGTTTATTCATTATAGAGATTTTTCCCGTTAACATTGAAATTATTTTTAAAAATCAATACTGAAAGTGCTTTGTGAACCATTGGTGAAGAATGGTTTTTAAATTAGCCACTCATATTTGGGTTTCATTGAAAACATCTATATGAAATTTAAAAACAAAATATTTATTGTGTATTCTAAACAAGAAATGAAGTGTCTTCAAGTCCACACCAGCCTTCTCTTTTACTACTAGGTCTACTCTCTCCCATAGGAAGGTACTGTCTCTTGGTGACAGTGGTTGCATTTGTCTGTAGTCCAAGCTACTCAGGGCTGAAGCAAGAGGATAGATTGAGCCTGAGCAACATACCAACGTACACACCCTCTTAAAAAACAAAAGCTAAAAATAACCTTCTCCCTAGAGACGTGGTTACAACTTGTTGGGTAGAATATATGGAACCAGGAGTAAAATCTTTTGTGTTTTGGAGGGTTTTGTTTTTTGCAATATAAAACTGTTCCTTCGACAGCCCAGAGAGGAGGTCTCCAAAAGGGAGGAGGCATCCACCTGGCCCTTGGGCACTGGGTTCATGATACTACAAAAAAAAAAAAAGAATTTTAGGGTACATTGAGGTAGACTAAAAAAGTTTATTAGTAAATCAAAGGAAAGATAGAAATTTAGTACACAACCCAAACATGATTATGGACACATCTGGTAACAGGTACAGTGAGTGCTCTAACATCCAGGGTATTTATGGTGAAAAAGTGGGTTGAAGGTTTGGCTCGAATTTACCTTAGGGTAAGTGCCCCCCTTTGTTCTGACATTTGGTATAATTAATTGCTTTTGCTATTACATTCTCTTATAAATTGGGCCCAAAGATTCAAAAGTTGGCCCACTCATTAAATTTGGGTCACTATGACTGAAAAGATGTTTGAACATCTCTAAACAAAGACTGGGTCCTGCCAGATACTGTCCTCAAGAAAGGTGTCGGTCCCTTCAATAAGTATTTTTTGTACACACTGTACCAGGAAGAATTATTTTCCCAGGTGTTTTCCCCAAGATAAATGTCTTGTCTTTATGATATCCTTGCTCAGTTCTCAGAGTGCACTGATTATTTGGGGGCAAATGGGCAAAGTCAGAAAGAAAGTGCTGCTCTTTTTCTTTTTTAGTAAATGTTGCAGTTTGTTGAGGAAGTGTAAGGCTTAAAATAAAGAAAATAGTATCTGTATGTTTTTGATCTATTAATTAGTGCAATGCTTATTTGTAAATTCTCAGCTGCTGTTTCCCATACCTCAATTTCCCTGATCTATCCTTCCTCAAAACCATTTGTTTAATTCTAAATCAGATCACTTTCACAGTAAAAGTCAAGGTGTGCTAGGGATAAAATCTTAAAGCATCATCTAAACTGCATTTAGAATACTCATCTGGGAGTTAAGGCAGGAGGATCACAAGTTCAAGGCCAACTTGGGCTACATAGCAATTCCTATTTCCAAAAGAAAAGGAATGCCCATCTGGGGGCTAAATGCAGATCCTTTTTTTTTTTTTTTTTTTTTTTTTGCCATACTCAGCCTCCCACTTGGTAGGCAGGCACTCTTCCTTTTGAGCAATTCCCCCAGCCCTGCATTTGTTATTTTTGAGATAGGGTCTCACTTTATGACTGGGTGGGCATGGACCATGATGCTTCTATTTGTGCTTCCTGGAGTAGCTGGAATGATAGGCAACACTGCATCCAGTCACTGGTTGAGATGGGGTTTTGCTTGCTTTTTGCCTGAACTGGCCTCAAACTGTAACTCCCAATCTTGACTTCTCAAGAAACTAGAAATTACAGGCTTGAGCCATCACACCCAGCTAAACTCAGATTTTTCATAGTGAGTGGTTCACCTCTCCCCATTTCCATTTATTTTATCAAAACAAGTTTATTATTTTGTCCAAAGTTCTTATACGAGGATATGAGAGCCATCTGGCTGTGACATCTGTCACCCCACTGATCGCCAGGGTTAATTTGGCCAATCTGGTTGGCTAGACAGGTGTCCCCTTTTTCCCTCACTACTCCATGTGTGTTTCTCCTAAAGCTGAACACTCAGTTGAAGAAAACGGCCATTCTTCAGTCAAGGGTATACGAGTAGTTGTGCTTCCTTGCTAGAACCTCCAAACAAGCTCTCAGTTCTCACATGAAGGGCAAGAACCTGTCTCTCCTTGGCCTGTATTCTAAGACTACTCCAGAGAAGTGTGGGCCTCTTTGTTAGCTCTTCTGCTTTAAATATCTCATCAGATTATGCTAATTTATTTTGTATTAAATGTTTGGGAGGTTTTGTGGTTTGCTTTAAATAGCTAAACCAAAATATATTCAAATATGACTCCAGTGACTTAAGTTGGTTCTAAATACTATTCTGGTTCTTGCTTTCTTTATCTTCCAATGTGTACTGGTCATTAGCAAAACTTTAAAATGTGCAAGTGATTGTGACTACACCATGATATAGCCTTTACTAAAAGATCATAATTCACAACAGGGAGAATATTGCCATCTATAGGCAGTTTGGGGAACTTGTAGGGGAAGTTTTTGTTCAGTGCAGATGGTATAACCTAAATTGCAATGGTCAAAATATGCAAGGCTCAGGAATGCTCCACATCCTATTGCTGCATATCCTATTGCCTTACATAGTGAGGGGCTGCAACCTGAATGACATTTTATATTTCCCATGGGACATTCACTTAGCAGTAAAGCCTGTTACCTAAGCCTAACTCAAATTTACTTATACACTGTCTGGGCATAACTTTATACTTGATTCCTGTAGTACCGCTACCTTGTAAGAAACTAGAGAAAATATAATACTTTGTTTTGTTCAGAATTTTACTAAGAGTTGTTCATCATTGTGAAAACTCATATCAGCAACCCTGCTTTTGGTATTTGATCACGTCTTATATCATCTGTATTGTAGTTGTTGCCTTCATGGGGGTTGTATGTGTACAAGTATATTTATTAAGCAAGCTCTTTTTTCAAAATGTCAATGTGTATCTTAATTACAACAGATTCATTATAAGTAAAGGCAGCATATGACTGTAATACCTATGGTGTGGTATGGTTCACCAATTTACTTACTAATATAAATTTATTTCTACTTTATATGGCAGGAAGGGCATTATATTACTTTTTTTAAAAATTGGTCATTGTTTTGAATTTTGTTTCTGGATGGTTAAGGAAATACTGTAAAATATTTATTATATAGTAAGGACTTGAGATTGGCAGGGTTGAGAATCACCATGCTAGATCAGTCTGGAATTTTTCTACTCAACCAAAATCAGATTGTATTTTCTAGAATTTGCCTTCTCTCATTTTTGAAAATCAAGACACACACTCATCTTAAATATTTTAAGGTTTCTTTCAACTTTTTGCATATTCTCTGATTTTATTGACTTCCTCTAGGCAACATGAAATGAGCCTGTGATCTCGGAAGACACAACTGTATGTTCTCTCACTGTTTTCTGTTTTGTCTTTCTTTGTACCCCAAGGACAGATTTTTTTCATTCTTGTTCTGAATGTAGCTTTAAACATCTCTGTGAATGTCTTTGATATTTTTTGTAAGCTTTATAAAAGCTTCTAAATTAGTTGAATTATTCCAACTAAGCTGTTCTTAAAAAGTTTATTATTTCATTCATTATCACCTTCTAACTTCATGTATGTATTCAACACTGTTTAGTTTTTTTATTACATAAACAATCATGTTTATGTAGAGAAAATTGGAAAATATAAAAAAGCAAAATGTAAAAACAAATCACTATTCAAATAATCTCATTTAACACTTTCTCTTTTTTTTGAAGTTATCAGTTATTTAATTAGGTTCTTGGTAACAAACAAGTTTAGAACAGTATTTTGTGAAAATGCATTCCATTTGTTAGTGCAAGTATAGACTGCATGAAGCCCTAGAGCTGAAGGACAGCTTTGATTTGGGTAAAATATGTTTGTCCACAGTTTTCTGATCAACGTTGTGCTGCTGTGTAATTCATATTTCTCCTATGTCAAAGATCTCGCCTTCCTGCTGCCTGGGATTCTGCAGCTGCTATTTCTTGAAGTAAGCATCAGTAAGGTGTTTGGGGATTTTTTTTTTTATGTTGCTGATAGCAGTTTTTGTGGCAGTGATGATGACAGCTTTCTGGTGTGTTCTGTGTAGGGGAACTTGATTAAGGGAAAGAGATCCAGTCATGAGAAGCAAGCCACTGCTCAGTTGCTTCAGGAAAAACCACTCTCTTATCCCCGTGGTACCCAGTGAAGATGGTCAGGATGGTCCCCAGAGTGATGCTTGCAGACAGCTTCCTCACATGTTGACCAAAAGGGGGTTTTTTTGCCATGGCTCAACAGCTTCCTTGGCACATCTTCATTGGGCTAGTATCTAGGTATTTTGCAAAACTTAACCACTCAGTTACCACCATTCTGGTCACCACCAACTGGTTTTGTTAATGGTAGCAAGAACCTTCTTTTTCTTTTCAACCTTGAATTTAGCAGCAGAGTACTTCCTCTTATATATGGCCTTTTTGGAATACATAGTAGATCGAGATATCT